CTTGCACTTTACTCATAGATTTGAACTCTCATATCTATATTAAAGCATCTTCTTCCACTTGACACTTAACCATTTTAAAGGGAGCTGATGCTTTAAAATTTATTTATAAAAACATATTAATTATACTACTTGAGAATACTTGAACCTGTGCCCTCTTAACTGAAAATGAAAAATTTTACCACCATACCTGCATCATTCCATGTGTAGTGTTGTGCACAACAAATTGTTGACTTGTTAACAATGATTTAATAATTTAACAACAACTTCCTTAATTAAAATGAAAAATTTTAAATTTAAATTGTGTTGCATGCAAATGAAGTGAGATAAGAGATAATAGAAAGATATCTTTCATTAAAACATTGTTTACTTGTTATCAATTAATGGAGTAGTAGATTACTACATTCACAAGAAGGAGCCTCCGTCCAGTGGTTAACTTTGACGAATGGTCCAAACATAATTAATACTGACCTAAATGCGTCGTTGAATTATACAAAACTTAAGCAAGAATAATGCGTACCGAACATAGAAACACACCAAGTTTATTGTTCGGATAAATAGGAACAAATGTTAGACACAAAGATCAAAAGGGGTCATACATTTTACAAGGCACCATCAGGTTCCTTTCTGAGCGACATCAAAGGAAATTTTCAACAATGGACGAAATGCCTGAACTTCCTAACTAACGAAAAGTAGTAGAAAGAATGCACCTCCAAGGGATTCCTTGAAAGGAAAAACTATTAGTCAAACCAGCATTGTCAACAAGCACTATTTCTCTAGCTCAAGCAACTTACCGTTCAGCAGTTGAGCTTTTCTATCCCCAAAACCATAGAAGATAGACCATTCAAGACAAATATGTAAGTTATTGGAACAACCGAAGAAAGTTGTTTGCATACGCCATTGGCTTGACATCAGGATGAGGCTGTCATTCACAAACAAAAAGGTTTTGTTACAGAGTGTTTTGATGTGCAATTTCAAAGTTTAAAAAGGGATATCACAATGCAAAGGTACTCACCACCGCTGAGAATGTAACAATGTTTGGCTTCAAATCAGGAGCTTCAAAACGAATGAAAGCACCCTTGTTGGCCATCTGCAGAATAGCACCAAACCCATAATAAAAAGATCATCTCACAGAATGCACACTTTCGGTTATAATCTATAACGTAGTATATTTCAATTTTCAGAGGTTTCATGAATCATTATCAAAATTAAACCAATGACTTACCTTAAGAGCAGGATTTGCATCCGCTTGAAAGATGGGGAGAGCACTCATTCCACTGACAAGTACACGCATTGGGTGTGTGCCATCAGGCATTGACCGTACTATATCCTACAAAACCAGGGATAACCAGAAACAGCTGCTCAGAACTTTTATTCAACCAGCAGGAGAGCAGATACCCATGGATGTTGGGAAAGAAAAAGAAAGAAACACAGTTATATATCATTTCCTTTTAGGTTTGCATGACAAGGCCTCAGTTAACTCATAAACTTAGAACTATTGTGAAAGTATTTAATCCAAAGAAGAGTATGATAAGGAGACATATTTATTACCACATTTCAAACAGTATGATAAGGAAAGAAAAGCACACCAATATCGTGGTACAGCTGAATGCTGAGAAACAGCAAATTCCCAATCAGCCAACTGACTTTCAGAAGGCAAATTTCCATATACTAAAGAAAAATGAAAACTACACATTAAATTGCAGAAATCGGATGTTCAAGTAGATGACTACATATAAACCTGGATTAATTCTTCAGGAGAAAACACCTAGTAGAATTTCCTAAACAAGAAAAAAAAGTGGGGGAAAAAAACCAATTGATTCGATCATCTCTGACCTCTATTGCCCATTTCCCATTCCGTGATTTAAAATCAATGCAAGGGATTCAATAGGAAATTCTTGATTCACGTGACGGAACTGTTACTTCTTAAAAAAAATAAAATAAAATGATGATCAAGACTTTGACTTTCTACCCAATACCCATAATAAATAAATAGCAAATAATGAGAAACTCAATTTGGGGAAATAGAGTTCATTCATAGGAAGAAAGCTCATCACATCAACTCTAACATGTTGTGTTCCTTTTTCGCACTGGACTGCTTACTGAGGAGATAGGCCACTTCTAAGACGGTACTGCTCTCGGCCAATTCCTCAATTGGGTAGCATCTGTATCGAAGGGTCCCCTGATCCCCGTCAATATAGGAAATTGATGAGCGTGCAGGAGCGGTGTTCAAATAGCCAGGGTCATACATCTTGGGCCCCTTGTCCTCTGTCCGGTCGTTATCTGTAAAAACAAAAATTCAACCCAGAATTGGAATATATAAATTCAGATCAGAGAAATCTTAAGGGTAAAACTACAGACCTTCTTCAAAGCAACCGCTTTAACGTTGCCTTCTGCGGAGACAGAGACCTGGTACTTCTTCCCAGTGCGTTCGTCGATGTTGGTCAAGGAAACGCCAAGGGAGGCGGCGGTCTGAGCAGAGACGCACCATGGCTCAATGATCGGCAGAGAAGAAAGGTCGGAGGGTGGCGGTGCTGCTAGATGAGCAGCAAGTATGGCCATTGGGCGTTCACTTTAACGCCGACCTCACCGTTTGACATCCTTAGAATGGATTTGGGTAGAAATGAAAACAAGTATGCACATGAAAGTTATAGTTTTGTTTCCGGCATTGTCCTTTCTTTCATATTAGATTGGGTTTTTATAATAAGAAATGTTGCTCAAATTGCCAAAATACCTTTAACGACACCTTTCTCAATGCTAATTCGTTAGTAATATTTTG